CACAGCTATATATGTAAATGTGCCCAGACCTATTATAAATTAGGATTTCTGCCAATTCTTTATACAATATTCATCTATATTATCTGCATTTTGGTAAAAGGGGCACAGCAATAGCATTTTTTCTACTTTATAGCATTAATAGGCAGACAGTAAACCGTAAGTTTGAAAATATGTTTCCACAATATCAACCTAAATTATTTGTGAACCCTAACCTAGCAAAAAAAATGAAAAGGCAAAACGTGAAAACGTGTATATAGAAAAAAACATTCTAAATACATTTTCTTTCTTTTTTTAAAATAAATGATCAAATTACCTCTGTTCTTAGCTTCATAAGAGGCTTTTGGAGGTGAGAGTGGAGACTGTGGGGGGGGGGCAGGTGTACAAACAATAGGCAGAGAAAGAACGATACACTGATCTTCCCAGTGAACAGCTGTGCAAGCACAAGTCTGACCTTTGGGGTGTAGGCAGGCTGTGCTACCATGCTGGTAGGGATGTGCTTCTATGCTCACTTTGAAATAGAAAAACAGGGGTACTGGCAGTACTTCACACAAAGGAAGAAATGCAAAGAGAACAGGATACTTTTTAACACAAGTACATGGTACAACAGACACATACCAGGATAAAATGTAATGATGTGTAGGATAAAATATACTTTAATAAATAATTTGTCTTCTTAGATTCCACTAAAACTCTTTTTTTATTGAATACTGTGAAAACATGTTTTATTTACTATTTTGTAATACAATTTAAATAGATACAAAATGGGGAATTTATAAGAGTGGATGAAAGGAAGAAGAGAAGGGATGTCCCTTCAACTAATCAGAGTCCAACACCATATTTTTGGTGTAGATTTGAAAAGCTTAAAGTAACACTAAAGCTTCATTTTTTATTTTAATGCTCAGTGCAGTGGTTTTACACTGAGCAGCCCTGATCCTCTTCTTTTTGGGTCCCTGCCGGCCAGGGGCGGACTGACAACTCATGGGGCCCTCGGGCAATAGGGGATCATGGGGCCCCTGTGGCCTTTCCCAAACTGAAAAAAGCCTATGAAAAAGGTACCAGGGGCATCTCATGGGGCCCCCTACTGACCCCGGGCCCTAAGGCAGTGCCGAGTTTCCAAATGGTCAGTCCGCCCCTGTTGCCGGCACTCCTGGCTCCCCCCTTGAGCAGTGCACCCAGAGAAAGCAACTTGCCCTGAGGGCACCACTGCATGCTCGTCCCCAAGTTCGCTGCTCTATGCGTCCATAAGAACCCTCCCCCCCTCTCTCTCCTCATTGGTTCACTGTCTGTGACTGTCTCAGTCAATGAAGAGGAAGAGTCCCCATACAGCAGAGGCTGTTGAGAACATCGCTGGAATGGGGGGGGGGGGCAGGTAAGGATGGGGGGCTGATGCACACAGAAGGTTTTTTTACCCTCATGCATAGGATACATGAAGGTGAAAAACCTTCAACCTTTACAACCGTTTTAATCTAAAGACAGATTCTGATGCTATGGATTTCTTCTTTTGCTTTTCTCAGGCTATATTAAATATTTCTGTTAGCAGCTAACATTTACTGCAAGAAATTATCTGAAATGTATCAATACAACAATTTTCTATAATCTACTGTAAAGCAGAAACTCAGAGTGGTAGAAGCAGGACTGTGTGCAATCTGGCTTTATAGCATGTTATGTTTGAGGCACTAGAATAAGGCGTTACGGTAGTTTAAATCATATCTAAACCCAACAAAACATGTATTTTATTACATTTTACCAGTCCTTAAATATGGTAGCTACATTCATTTTTTTCAGGCTTTTATTCCTTTATTTTTATTTACTGATCCTGCCGGTAACACTCTTTCTGTTCTAAGGTGACAATACTCATTCACTGTGTGTATCTGTGGAGAAGCAGAATTGTTACTTCTCTGCTTATTTCCATAATATAAGGGAATGTGTGTTGTAGTTCACAGGACAAATTTGTGTGAAATTTGGATGCAGTATTGTCACCTCACTACAGAGAATTTTTTTGGAGCTCACTGGGTTTCTGGCAGAATCAAGAGTCTTTTTTTACCTTCAGTGGTATTAACTACTTGCCCTCCAGAGGATTACCCCCCTGCCTGACCAGGCCATTTTTTGTGTTACGGTGCTACATTAATTTAACTGACAACTCCGCGGTCATGCAACACAGAACCCAAATTAAATGTATGTCCTTTTTTTCCTTACAAATGGAGCTTTCTTTTGGTGGTATTTGATTGCCTTTTTTTTTTTTTTTAGTGCTTTTATAAAAAGACCGACAATTTTGAGAAAAAAACAATATTTTTGACTTTTTGCTGTAAAACATGTCCAGTAAAAAATATTTAAAAAATCTAATTTCATTATAAAATGTATTCTGCTACATGCCTTTGCTAAAAAAAAAAGCACCAATAAGTGTATATTAATTGGTTTATGTGAAAGTTATAGCATCTACAAGTAGAGGTATATATACTGAAACTTTTTATTTTTTCTTATACTAGTAATAGCAGTGATCAATTAAACATGTCCAGTAAAAAATTTTAAAATATTAAATTTCGCCATGAATTTAGGCTAAAATGTATTCTGCTACATGTCTTTGCTAAAAAAAAATCCCAAATACGTGTAAATTAGTTGGTTTACATGAAAGTTATAGCATTTACAAATGGTGATATATATACTGGAATTTTCTTTTTTTTATATACTAGTATTGACGGCGATCAGCAACTTATAGAGGGACTGCGGCGTGCATTATGACACTGGTTGGGAACTGACTAACTGCCACAGACACTAATACAGTGATCAGTGCTAATAAAAAGGACTCGTATTGTACTAATAACACTGGGCAGGAAGGGGTTAACACCTGGGATGATCAAAGGGTTAACTGTGTGCTGTGTGTGTTTTACATTATGTGCTGTGTGTGTTTTACTAGGGAGACATGCTGCTTTGTATTTATCTGCTGTGCAGAGAAATACAAAGCAGCATGTCTTTGATGACAGAAGAGAGACCTGTGTTGTTTACACATAGGTCTCTCCCCTGTCAGCTCTGCCAATGATCGCCAAGTTCCAGCCAAGAATCGCCGGGACCCAGTGATTGACATGTTCAGCAGTCAATAGGGGCACAGGTAGGGCGGTGCACGAGCGCGCCCCCTACCCAGAAATGCAGATCATATATATGTAATTTTGTGCATCTCTGCAGCAATGTAGCAGTACTTCTACTATAGGGTAGAGAGGAAGTGATCAAAAGGGAGCAATAGCAAAGAGTTCTTTTTTAGAGTTTAGCTGGTAGCACTTAATCACCTTTAGTTGGACTTGTTCTGTAATGTTGAAGCAACTTGGATAAACAGCCAAACATCCTCAACGTTACAGAACAAGTCCAGTTGAATGTGACAAACTAAGACCATCTGGACAAGTAAAAAGCATAACAGACATCATTAGGGTTTCCAAATATATGCATATTTGCATTTATGTATTTCAACTGCATGTTTAATGCATTGCCTGGACTAGATTATTTTTTTTCAATCTATTAAAAAATAACCATCCAATTATCTAGGTCTCTCAGGAACAGACATACAGCATTGTAATATGGCAGGACAAACCCAGTGGTAGATGCTGACAATTTTAAGACATTACTGGCTAACTGCAGAGATGATCATTACAGAAAAGGTTTTACAGAGAAGGGTTTTCAGAATCACTGAATTAAGAAACTAGTTACGATAAGATGAGTTAAAGCAAAGATTTGTTGCATTTAATAATTGAAAACTATTTAGGCGGAAGACAGAAAATATTGGCTCAAACAGCTGGATCCCCACCCTAATAACGGTTTGCAATTTTATATTGATTGGTAGAGTTAATTTTTTTTTCCCTTGTGTACTTACAGAGACTACAAGTGCATGATAATTGAGCAAAGTATGTGTATTTTATCTACTTATGTATATGGGCTGAATCTTTCAGTGCTTTAGCTGCTACATGAAGCAAAATGTATGCTGGAACCTTAAGAAAGCCAGCTGGTGCAGAGTAATCCAGAGAGGTAAAGGTGTATATTTTAGTCTGTGTAATGGAGAGCATTCTGCTGTATGTACAGTATGTTCAAGGGCTCTGGTTGAGAAGGATCCCTGCCACAGTCTTAAAAATTCACTTTAAGTTTCAAAAACTATTTGATTTATTGTTCAGTATGAATCTTATATGAGTTTACCTACCTAGGAGTGCCTGTGCATAGGATTGTTTAACTTTTAATTGGAAATATGTTTGGGGTTTGGGAAGAGGTAAGTGGATTAAAGGATTTCAATAAACACAATATACAAAAAGTTCAGCGCAATCCACCACCACCTGTGCACTCATCAAAGAGCTACTTGTTAAGTAGCATGTATGTCACAGACTAGTAGAGCCATTGGAAAATGGCTGGTATAGACCCCATGACATACATGCTACTTAACAAGTAGCTTTCTGGTGAGTACATAGTGGTGGTGGATAGCACATTGGATTTCAGAGCACTGTGTGGGACTGAACACTATTTGCCATGATTGCTATCATCACACCACCGACATACAGATTTATATTGGAAGGATTGTTTTGTTAACTATTTTGTTGGTTACACTGAGATTTATTTATATCTCATTTATATATTTTTTTTATCATTGAATTGTTTTATTATTCACTTTATATGTTTGCACTTTTTATATATTGTTTATTGACATTTTTGTCACCATCTCTTGTGCAAGCTGCTCCTGTCTCTATTTCGCTCACTGTCTGTTTCTGAAATGGATGAAAGTATTTAGTTGTTTAACCCATAATAAATTCATCAATGAAAAATAAGAATTTTATAAATGTACTCCAAGGCGTTTGGAAGGAAACATAAGCAAGCAGTTTGGTGGTTTCTGGCCTGAAAGATGGCCATTCTCCTTTTGCATTTAGTTTTAACAATTGACTACATTTCCCAAGACATAGATAGATAGATAGATAGATAGATAGATCGATAGATAGATAGATAGATAGCTAGCAGGGGCGGACTGACAACTCATGGGGCCCCCGGGCAATAGGGGATCATGGGGCCCCTGTGTCCTTGCCCAAACTCAAAAAAGCCTATGAAAAAGGTACCAGGGGCATCTCATGGGGCCCCCTACTGACCCGGGCCCTCAGGCAGTTTCCAAATGGTCAGTCCGCCCCAGATAGATAGATGGATAGATAAATAGATTGAAACCTATGTTGGTGGATGTAAAGTAATATTGACGGTTGTGATGTCTGGTGAGGTAGGAGGAGAGGTTATGCACTTTTTATAACACCTTTTTGCTTTCATCCAGGCTCTTCATTTTCAATGTTCTTGTAATGTGATTACTTTGTTTGCTATTGATCCATTTTTGTTTTTATCTTCCAAAAATAGGTAAATAAATGAAAAAGCAGCCAATCATAATTTAAGGAGAAAAAGGAATGGTCTTATTTTAAAGTGTCCAAATAAAATGTTAAAATATTCTCAATGATCTTTATTTACAATTGTATGCACACATATGGTAGCATGTCAATTGTTTTTGTCTGATACTTTTATTTTAAAAGCCTCTGTATATAATATCAGTGATGTGAACATCATAAATCTAGGGTGGCTAAATTCCACAAAAAGCAGGAAAAAGACTGACAGGAACAGGTTTTCAACACAACTTGAATCCATCTTTTAGTATTTAATCAACTTTACTTCTGAAACATTGCTTGCAGTTTTTATTTAGTTCCCTTTCTGTTTTAGGTTCCTTTTCTGGTGGCTTTTTACTGATCACTGTAAAGAAATGGATGGACTGAGAATGGAAAGAAGAATAAAGACAGGCTAGACATTTCTTGTGGACTTATAAATAAAAGATGTAAACCAGCATGAACAGGACTGCACCATCATGATATTTTGAATCAAAAAACATAAAACAAATAAAAATAAAGAAGCCACTGGGTCTTTTTTTTTTACTAAATATGAGTTAATCATGAGTTTCATGGGACTATTTCTTAGCTTTATAGTGATTCATCATTCACATCACATTTATTCATAACGTCCTTACAGGATGTCTCCAACTTACAAGCTGACCTCAATGCAATGTTTAATTGGGCAATTATGTGGCAAATGAGGTTTAATTTTGATAAATGTAAGGTTATGCACTTGGGGGCTATGAATATGCATGCATCATACATACTAGGGGGGGTACAACTGGGGGAATCAATGGTGGAGAAGGATCTGGGAGTTCTGGTAGATCACAAGCTTAATAATGGCATGCAATGCCAAGCTGCGGTTTTGTAAAGCGAGCAAAATCCTCTCTTGTATTTAATAGAGGTATAGACTCCAGAGAGAGAGATATCATATTACCCCTGTACAAATCATTAGTAACACCTCATCTGGAATATGCAGTTCAGTTTTGGGCACCAATTCACACAAAGAACATTGGGGAACTGGAGAAAGTACAGAGAAGGGCAAGCAAACTGATAAGTGGCATGGAGGAGCTCAGCTATGAGGAAAGATTAGAGGAACTGAATTTATTCTCTCTTGAGAAGAGGAGATTAAGGGGGGATATGATCAACATGTATAATACATCAGTGGTTCATATAGTGAACACGGCGTAAAGTTATTCACCCTGAGGTCATCACAGAGGACAAGGGGGAACTCTTTACGTCTGGAGGAAAAGAAATTTAATCTCTAAACACGGAAAGGTTTCTTCATAGTAAGAGCGTGAAAATGTGGAATAGACTCCCTCAAGAGTTGGTTCTGGCCAGCTTAGTCGATTGCTTTAAAAAAATCCTGGATTCTGTATTGGATACACAGAATATAACTGGTTACTAACATTTTAGGGAAAGTTGATCCAGGGAATATCCGATTGTCTCTTGAGGGATCAGGAAGGAATTTTTTTTTCTCCTGCAGGAGCAAGCTGGGTCATGCTTTGCTGGTTTTTTTTGCTTTCCTCTGAATCAACTGTGGGTGTATAAATATGATCTTTTTTTTTTTTTTTTTGATGGTCGAACTGGATGAAATTTTGTCTTTTTTCAGCCAGACTAACTATGTAACTATGTAACATCCAAGCCTTCTCATACATAAATCAAAGAAACAATGCTGCCCTCCAATGTTTTATTCATTTTAGGCAAGCACCCAACTAAAATCATTGTACAAAGGCCATGCTGAAACTTACCCATATACAGTCAGGTCCATAAATATTGGGACATCGACACAATTCTAAAATTTTTTGCTCTATACACCACCACAATGGATTTGAAATGCAACAAACAAGATGTGCTTTAACTGCAGATTGTCAGATTTAATTTGAGGGTATTTACATCCAAATCAGGTGAACGGTGTAGGAATTACAACAGTTTGCATATGTGCCTCCCACTTGTTAAGGGACCAAAAGTAATGGGACAGAATAATAATCATAAATCAAACTTTATTAGCAAACTAAAACATCATCCAATCAGATGTGCTTTAATGTGTCATTATAAATAATGCACTTTTATATGAATATTTTATTCATGAAATACATTTTTTTAGTTACATTTTACACTGGTTGCAAACTAAACGATGTCCAGGAACATGAAATGTTAATTGTGATACAATATGTTACAATTTGTATTTTTTAAAGGCTAGTGGTGCTCTTTAAAAACAATGAAAGCTTTACTGGACCATAAAGTAAGTAGGCAAAGTCATCTTCACATTTGAAATTAGCCTTTTTACTTAGAGGGAAAGCTTTTTTTAAAACTGACAAATTCCACACATTATCAATGCCCGAATGCTTTCCTTCTAAAATGAATGACCTGATATTGTCATGTGAGCGCATCTCTCCACAAGCCACTTTGATGCAATAAATGCTATTGAGGCTTGATGAAACAGTCCCTAAACCCTAATATTCATGTAGACACACTGGCATTCAGTGAGAACAGTATGACTACTGCTGTGTTATCCTTATGCCACATCATATTGGTTCCTGTTAGGTCACATTGTTTGAATGTTGTAGAAAAGTTAAAGAAATCCCATTGATGATGACATTGCAACTTGAGTTGTACAGCTTGCATTTGGTTATGCTGATTGAAGATCCTGTAATCCAACTAACTACTGGGCCCTGCAGGGTTCTAAAGATGGCCAAAGACAATGGAAAATAGCTGGCATACAATATCTGACCATTGTAGGGTAGGTTCACACTAGTGCGGGCTGTGCGGCCCACAGTTGCAGGGGCATGACAGCCCGTTTATTTGAATGGGTTGCTGTGCCCACGTTTCACCTGAAAAAAGGTTCATGCACCATTGCAAAAATGCATATGCAGGGAAACGGCATGATCTTTTTGACCATGCTGTTTCCACCGGTTTCCAGTGGTTCTCGCACCCTCAAATAATGCTGCGGGCTGAGATGCATGGGGATGCCATTCAGAATGAATGTCACCTACTGTGGCCAACATGTTCCACTTTGAGAGACTGTATTCTGATATCTTAGGTCACCTATTAGGTTTAGAAGATCAACATATTGGGGTTGGTTCATTAAAGGCAAATAGGCTGTTCACTTTGTAAGGCGAGTTTCTCTAGAGCTTAGTGGTTTATGTAAATAGTGGTAAATTTCCCCTTTGCAAATACCCAATCAAGTACAAGGAAATAAAAAAAGCATTTTATATACGCTCTGTTATTGGATTCTGGAAATCAGAAGAGCTTAACTTTATTCACTAAAGCAGACCATAGACGGGACTAGCCAAGTGGTGGGTCATAGACGGGACTAGCCAAGATTTGATCCATTTCTGGACAGGCTGGTTATACTGAAATCAATCCATTAATCGACTGCAGTACAACCAGCCAGGCAGATCTTTTTGTATGCAATTGCTGCTGTCAGCTATAGCTGCTAATGGTGATCATTGTGGTTTGCCTGCAGGGAATGCTACCTGCTGGAAGAACACAATTGTGCTGCAGAAGGGATTTCCCCAACAACACTGTGTTGGTGAGGGAATCAAGCAATTTTTTTTCCTTCCACCTGTGGTGGAAGTCAAGAAAATGGCATAAACTATGGGCTGTTTAAAAGAAAAGTTTACCTTTGGGAACATGTTACATGTTCCACCTGTTTTTTTAAACATGTTTCCAATGCTGCAGTTGCTACCCACTACCCAACTCCCTGTGACAGAAGTATGGGGAGAAGTACCCTGTACTAGCTGTCACTTTTTAACCACTTTCCTAATAGGCACTTTTACCCCCTACTTGCCCAGGCCAATTTTCAGCTTCCAGTGCTGTTACACTTTGAATGACAATTGTGCAGTCATGCAACATTATACCCATATGACATTTTTATCATTTTTTCACACAAATAGAGATTTTTTTTGGTGGTATTTAATCACCACTGGGATTTTTATTTTTTGCACTATAACCAAAAAAGAGCAAAGAATTTGAAAAAAAAAAAGTTTTTAATATAACATTTTGCAAACAAGTAATTTTTCTCCTTCACTGATGTGCGTTGATGAGGCTGCACCGATAGGCAGCACTGATGGTCACTGATAGGCTGCAATGATGAGGTGTCACTGGTGGGCATTGATGAGGAGGCACTGATGATGCTGCACTGATGGGCATTGATAGGCGGCACTGATGGGCATTGACAGGTGTCATTGATGGGCACTAATGGGTGGCACTGATGCGCGGCACTGATCGGTGAAAACTTCTGGGCGGCACTGCTGGGCAGCACTGATGGATGGCACTGCTGGGCACTAGTGGCTGGCACTGCTGGGCACTGGTGGATGGCACTGCTGGGCACTGATGGGCAGCACTGATCATCAATGCCCTGATGATCAGTTTGAGTGTCCTCTGTGACATTTGCCGGTTATCGTCAGTAATTTCCTCATGCTGTGACAGCGTGAGGAAAGTGCTGCCGATAACCAGCAACTGTATTTACTTTGTGATCTGCTGTGTCATTGGACACAGGTAATCATGTGATTGGCCTTTTACCTAGTCATGTGATCAGCTGAACAGCGATCACTGACAGATCTGCATACGCGTCCCCGGGGGTGTGCAGGGGGGCGCGTTCTGGGAAGATGTCATATGACGCCCTCCCAGAGCTGGACAACCATGCTGTAGACATAATTTGTCTATAGATCGGCTGTAAAGTGGATAA